TCAACGGACATAATCAGGAGCTGAAAGTGATTAGATATACATTATGGATATACTAAATTTATTTTCTGGACATTTTACCCCAGGAAAGAAGGCTTTGCTGCAAAGGCCCCGAGAGTTTACTCGCCGGTCTCGGCACATCTACGGGCAAAGTGCAAACAAACGGGTGACACCCTTCTTTGTCCAGCTCACCTATGAAACCAGTCTTTGTCTCCACGGTAATGACCATCATCCTTTGTGAGAGCTACACTTCCCAGAGCCATCAGTGTCCCCTGGACTGCAGCCATGTCCTTTCCTTTAAAACAGAGTGAAAAGCCTCATAAACACGATACCTGTGACACAGAGCCTGCCAGAGGCATCTTGTACGTTCCTAGATACACCGTGTTAATGACATTTTCAGATCAAATAAATGCTTCAGAACAATGCACATCTAGAATTCGTATGTGCCATATACCCAAGAGATAGCGTAAGTTATGTTTAATTTAAGGGATAATGTAGAGTGATCACAAAATAAACATTGTGATCTTGACACCAATGCAAAGCTGAGGTGTTGTGTAACAATACTTTAAATAGTGTACTTTAAATGCAAATTTGGCTTAATTGTTTTATGTTTTAATGTGTAACATGAACAGTAATATTGTTAAATATTATAACAATTCAAAATAATTATTTTCTATTTAATATATTTTCAAATGTAATTTATTTCTGTGTATTTTCAGCATCATTCCTCCAGTCTTCAGTGTCACATGATCTTCAGAAATCAGTATAATATGCTGATTATTAGAAACATTTCTGATTATTATGATGTTGAAACGTTTTTGCGGTCTAATATTTTTGTGGAAACTGGGTTTTTTCCCAGATTCTTTGATTAACAGAATAAAAGGTTTAAAAGAGCAACACTGTTTCAAAACAGAATATTTGGTAACGTTGTAAAAGTCTTTGCGGTCACTTTTGCTCAATTTAACGGATACTAATGCCAAATAAAAAGTACTTATTTTTAAAAATTCATACTGACTCCAGACTTTTAGTAGTGTACATAAGAACAATGTTTGAGATGTACAACGATTCCAATATAAAGTGATGTTATAAATTTTTTTATTTTATTTATTTTTTGTTATGAGTGGAAAGTAAAATACATAATAATTGAAACAACAGACATAATGAAGACAGTCCAGTCTGGTCTCTGCTTTGAGATCAGTGGCAAAAATTATGAGTATTCAAAGAGGGAAGAGTTTCAAACGACCGATTTATGAAAATGGAGTCATCAAAGTTGGGTGCATAAACGTTAACAAGGAGAACAGGATTCTGAAATAGCGTGCCAGCTATGATCAAATATATACCGCTTTTATCTGCTATGACAGAAAAATGAACACTTATTAAATAACACTGCAACCCCTCTGGATTTAGAATGAAAAAACACCTGAGATTAATTTCTCAAATGGGTTTCTTGCAAAAATACAACGTCACTATTAAGGAATTTTTAGGTGAAAAATATCCTTGATCTCTTGACCGGATTACAGATA